TGGTTATAAAACTAAATGTAAGCCAAAGAAGTATATTCAATCATCTTAAAAGGCTTGGAAAAGTTTCTAAGTTAGATATGTGGATTCTGCACGAACTAACAGAAACTGATCTTGCACAATGATTAAGTGTTGTTGAATTATTATTTGATCATCGAAAGAAAGAGCCATTTTTAGATTGAATAATTACTGGAGATTAAAAAATGGATATTATACACTATTGTTCATTTTCTTTCCCATTTTAAAAGTCCAGGCCTGGCACCAACCAACCCTAGTTTTCATTTTTGCTCATATAACACCATATGTTAGGTAATTTCTGGACTTCAAAAAAATTAGACGTTACATTTTAATAAGAGTTGGTATTTTAATGCCTGCCTTTAGTGACAAATTATTTGGATATTATTTTAAAATAATAGCAGAGAAGTAGCCCAATTTAATCTGGCAGTCATTTGGCATAGATGATGATATTATGTTGAAAAGAAGATGTTCTTGTTTAATGGTGTTTGGAAGAAAAAATTAATATTAACATGCAATTCTTTTGATTGTGATTATTAGTTACATTCTTGAAGCAATCAATAATTATTTCTTTTAATTATAAAAAAGAATACAGTTGAGTCTGCATAAGTTGTCATAGGTATAACTAGATACCATCAGTTAAGTAGTCAGATTTTTGTGGTCCAGGCTGACTTAAATAGGCATTAATGTTAAAAAACTCTGGTTTACTTGACACTGTTTAACTTGCCATCACTGGATAAATTGACATACTTTTTCTGTCCCACACTCGTTTAGACGTCTAATAAGTCGACTCTCCTTCTGAAAAAAGTGAGTTCATACAACACAGCTTAACATCACAACAGAATCCGATTTTGCATTTTCTCATTTTTCATTCATGCAGTAAGTGTTTCACATTTCTATTAGAAATGAGTATCCAAAACCTAACAACCCTTATGCTGAAGGAAAAAATGAACTTGTATCTGTATCTGAATTTGGATGTAATAAAATTTTGAAGCCAAATTTGCAAAACAAGAAAATCTTCCAAGAACAACATTATTGGAAATTCTGAAGAAAAAAGAGGAAACTTTTTCTTGGGTTGTTGTTGTGGGTCGTTGTCATGGCTGTCTTGAAAATGCCAGCATAAGTCACTATACAAAATGTCAAGGATGCTCTGGTACATTGGCTAAAGCAAATTCGTTCATTGAATCTTCCTGTTTCAAGGCTGAACTTATGAACTTTACTGAAACAAAAAGCAATGGAAACTGCTAAGGTTCTTGGAGTAGAAATCAACTTTAGTGCCAGCAATGGATGGTCAGAGAGATACATTACATGCACTATTAAAGCACTACTGTATTTTCATAATTGTAGTTTTGTGGTTTTTTCAACTTGTTTTAGTTGTTGTATCGGATAACTCGATACATTTTCACTTCCCTTTGGGGTGTTGACTTATGCAGACTCAACTGTTGTATACTTTTGCTAACTTTTGGAACCTAACCCTATGATTTGTACTAATCCTTTGTTTTATAGAGCATGGATTTGCATAGCACGACACTTTTTCAGAACTTAACTAGCATGTTATATGGGAGATACCTTTACTTAATTTTTGTATATATCTTTTAGTACTGATATGGTGGTTTTTACGCTGCATATCTGTAATTTTTTTCTGTAAGATTGGGTTTATTTGTAAATCATAATAATTTGATGAGAAATGGAAATATGAGAAATAATCTTTTATAGTTTTTTGGCAGACAGTTGTAAGTTTTTCAAAGTATAATTAATTTGGTAATATGATTATCATTTCTATCCTACACACATTTTGTTGCTGCTATGATATTGGCTTAAGGTTTTATCTTTAGAACATAAAATGTAAATTATGTTAATAAAGAAAAAACTTGCAAATATTATTTCTTAGAAATATTTTTTCATTTTAGTAGATAGATTTTTATATTTTTATTTTAAAATATATTCTTTTTCTTACTTGAAAAATTATGAAAACAAAGAATTGTGTTATCATTATCAAATATTTCCAGAAAATGTTACTTTTAGATATGCTTTTTAATGATAAGCATAAATTTTACTGATGGGAACTAATCACACAGGAAATACATCCGTAATTGATTATGCCAACTTTATTATATAAGGAAATACATTTTGGGTCTTCTGCACTTCTTCAATGATTTATTACAGATCTACTTAATTAAACAATAAATACTATATATTAAAAATTCTAATACACCACATTGAACACATTAAAATATTTTAAATACAGTAAATTACCTTTATATTTGTTTTTAGAATATATTAGGGACCATTAGATATGCGGTGTTTTTAACATTTAAAATTTCAAATTAAGATATTTTAAAATATAATTTTTGACTACTTTGAATCTTAGACATAAATGATATATGATAAATGTATTAAAAAAATATACAGTGGGTGATTGGTTAATGAACATAATCCATTCCAAGACTTTGTTCGCTATCCGAATTGTTCGTTAACTGATTATGAATTTACCATAGGTTTGTATGGGAATTTGATTAATTCGTTCTGGAGACCCTCAAACAACAAAAATATATATACTTTCTTACTACGTTTATTCATATCTATATCTATATATCTATAAATGAACGTGTGTGTCCCTATATTTCACTTTTCAGCCAAAACTACACATCGCACATGAATGGTGTTTGTATGTGGTAGTAGCCCCAAGTCTCCATTCGTGCACNTATCAATAAGAGTATGTATTCTTGCATAGCCATATGCATACATGTAAATAAAATCTAATGCAAGCTTATGTAAACCTGCACAAGATATATAGGCATAAACAGGTTCCTATGCATCTGGAAAGTCAGGGATTTTCAGTGTTCAGAAAAAGTCATGGAAAGTCAGGTAATTTGCCTTCTTGGCTGCCTTGTTGATTTTTTTTCTTCACAATTAGGTAGACCAAGTGCAGCTGTCTGCAGGCAGCAAGAAGTAATGTGGTACAATGCAACTTATCAAATGTCATGCAGAATATTTTCAGGACCCAAAATTTCCCCAAAAATTATTGCTCACAAAATAAAACCATACTTTATGAAACAATTAATAATTATTATTATAGTTTAGAAAATTCAAATTAAATCATACATATAAATAAGTAGCCTACTATACAATTTACCATGCAACACTAAGCTGATAAGTTAACAAATATTTTAGATTAAAAGAATGCTTGAATTTAAGTACATGTTTTCATCATTATAGGATACAGTTTATCAACATATACAATTATGTATAAACTTGATGCAATATGTTGATTAATAGAAATATGAGGATGGTTTTTTTCAAGCTCCAATGGTCCATAAAACAAAGACAAGTGTAAATAACAAAATGAATTTATTACCAAAAGTTAGGTACAAACATGGTTACTTTTTGACATAAATCACCGTGAAGATTGAGGCATTTGTCATATCTGTGGACAAGCTTTTCCAGTCCCTTGTCATAGAATGTTGCTGCCAGTGAATTGAGATGGTCTTAACAATGTTATTTTGAAGATGTTCATTAGTCTCAAACCTCTGCCCTGCTAGCCACATTTTCATTTCAGGAAAGAGGTGAAAGTCTTCACACATTAAAAAGTTCCAAGATCGGTGGAAGTCTTCACCACCTTTAAACACCCAGCATATAGCCGTGATTTAGTGCCAAGCAATTTCCACCTCTTTCCTGAACAGAAAAAGTGGCTAGGAGGGCAGAGGTTCGATCTTCAAAACAATGTTAGGACCCATCTCAAGCTCAAGTCATTGGTGGCAATGTTCTATGACAAAGGGATGGAGAAGCTCGTCCACAGATATGACAAATGCCTCAATCTTCACATTGACTATGTCAAAAAGTAACCATGTCTGTACCTAACTTTTGGTAATAAATTCATTTTGTTATTTACACTTGTCTTTTTTTTATAGACCATCTGAGGTTGAAAAAAAAACAGCTTTTACATAAAATTGAATTCGGTGCCATAAATGATTGTTTTATTTTTGCACAAACATAAAAAATGGACTTTTTGATATCCAAAAATACAAAATTTATTTGACAATGACCTCAGAATGAATTTTTATAAGGCTGAAAAATTTCAGTTAAGAATGAACTTCAAGTAACGAACACCAAAAAATATTGTAAAAAGGAAATTTCATATTATTGGAATTATTTTCCCATGGCCATTTTGTCCTACTTCTAAAACACTCCTTTACATTATTTAAGTTCTTCAGTGTTCTATAAATTACAATTATAGAAATTAAGTTGACAAAATTTTTACAGATTAAAAAACTAACAAAGTATTTAGATGTTAAGTAACAACATGAACACACTACTAATACCTTTAAGGATTTTACACATTTCTTTTTATCCTCAGTTGGATTGTTACATTGATACGGTATCTTCATTTATCACGTTATATTGTCTTTCGTGGTATGAATCGCAGTATGACTTAACAATTGCTATAATCAATAATAATACAATCATAAAAATCATAAAATTTAGTGACACATAAGTAGTCTAAAAAACTTGTAAAGTTTTCAAGACTATGTATAGTTTTTTGAAAACTTTACAAGTTTTTTAGACTACTTATGTGTCATTCCTCTATATGATAAATCATATAGAGGAATGACACATTAAGGACATAGAGGAATATGATAAATCATAAGTCATCATCATAAGGAATATGATAAATCATAAATCATCCTCTATAAGGACATAGAGGAATTCAGGAACTAAAAATCGTTACAAGACAATTATGCCAAGTGAGTATTTCCTAAATAATATTTATACATAAATACAGTATTTTTATTTAAGATACTTTCTNTTTGAATACTTAAAGGAATACTTTCAGTCAAAATATTTAAGTTTGAAAGATTTATTTTTAAATAACAATCTTGTAAAATTAGTTAAATAATTGGTTTAATTTATTCTTAGTAAATCTGTTTCGACTTATTTCTATTTAAATTTTTTCTAGAAATTGTATTCATTCTCACTACATTTAACAGGAAATACCAATGAATCATCCTGAAAAGGTTGAAATCCCTGGTTCAGGAACTAAAAATCGTTACAAGACAATTATGCCAAGTGAGTATTTCCTAAATAATATTTATACATAAATACAGTATTTTTATTTAAGATACTTTCTTTAATGGAGACCATGATTAATGTCAGAAATTTGAAAGGGTTAAAAATGTCAGGATATTTATTTGGATTAACTGTGTTTGGAATTTTAATCCCATCTTCTGATTCGCAGCATTAAGTGTTCTGACAATTCGAATAGAACAATTGTTTGTACATAACTTTTTGAATCTAAATAATCAATGGTTATATTCAAAAAATTATCTATTGAATCTATATTATATGTTTGTATTAACTATTATTTTGTTCTTATTTTTGTTTTATTATTTTTGGTTGTTTTGTTACTTTAACTCCCTTTTATTTTAGTTTTTACTTGTGTTTGGCTGGAAAGAGTATGGAAGGTGTTAAGTTGCTTACTGTTAATTTTTCAGCTTTTCAATAGTATATTTTACTTTTTAGTTTCTAGTTTTATTTTTGTTTCTTAGTTTATGCATGGGTAATATTATTTCATGTTTATTATAATTTTTGTATATACCTCAAATATTGGTAATTTAAAAATAGATGTTAATTTGTTAAAGAAATGTTCAAATTTGTATAATGTTGGTCAGTTAGATTCAAAAAGTTAGGAATGAACGTTTATTCTATTTAAATTGTCAGAACATTGAATGTTATGGATCTGAAGATGGGATCGAAAATCCTGAAAGCACTTAATCTGAATAAATATTTTGATTTCTTTCTTTTGAGTTTCTTCTAATGTATGTAGATATATATATATATATATATATATATATATAATCAAAAAAGTTTGGAGATCACTGCTCTAGACAGATATATATATATCTGTCTAGAGCAGTGATCTCCAAACTTTTTTGATTGCACACCTCTAAGACAAACTCTTTTTTTGATTGCATACCCCTAAAACAAACCCTTTTTTGATTGCATACCCCTATACCCCTATAATAAAAAATAAAATTGTTTTTGGGTTCTCAAATACATATTCAGACAAGGAATTGGAAGGAATGTTGAGTCTAAATGAATTTCACTCGTCTGCTTTATTGCAGACGAGTGAGACGACTTTTCAAATAAATTAGAAAAATGTACATATAAAATCTATGTTTATGGAATAAATTACTCATATTTTTTACGTGTCAGGAAAATTTGCTGTATTTTCACTATAAATACATAATTTCTGCTAAATTTCCTGCTACCTGCAATTAGAACTTTTTCTGTGTATGATTGCAACTGATCATGAGCCTACTTCTCCAGGAGAATGACTGTAAGATTAGACAGACTGCAGACAGGACAAACACAATATTTCGAAGGGCAACTTGACAAGAATCACTTTGCATACCCCACTTTCGAGACCACTATTCTAGAGAGAAATTTAGCACTCCAAATGCAGCCATGTCTGGTATGGTTATATTTTAGGAAATGCCCAATATATATGTTTTCATAGATTATATATAGTACTTAGTTTATAACCATCATCTAGTAACTGGAACAATAAGTATGAAACTCCACTCAACAAAATCCTCTTAATTCCAGTAAAAAGTTTTAATAAGAACATAAAATTTGAGAAATGTTTTTGATCTTACTCAACATCTGCATCAGGTCAAATTCAGTGTTCCATTATGGAATACACTCAGAAAATTAGTTCTAAAACTTTTCATTGTCACACTTATGGCCCTGCAAACAACAAATATATTACTTGTACAAGACACTAATACTGAACGGGGATCTCAGGAATGTGGGGGATTCTGCTCAGTTGTGCCATTCTGAAGGTGTTTAGCCTGATGATGTAGCAATATATTTAAGGATTCTCAGAAGGATCACGCTGCAGTGTGATCCTTTTAAGACTGCCAAATTTGTATCATGTTATTGATAAACCAGACTTTTTCAGTGTTCCTATAACAAAAAATCACATGGATTAAGATCCAGAAAATGAGGTGACCAGATGAGGGGAAATTCTTGAGTAATCACTGTTACTAGTAAAATGTTTTCACAAAGTAGTGATGCGGCATATGATATATGGAGATTTTCATTTTGCCATTGTTGTAGTTGGAGTACAACAGAAGTGTTAAGTATTCATTACTCAGTATTTCTGGCAGGCCAGTCTTTGGTACATTGAGGCCCTGGGCCAAGAAAAGTTTAGAGGCTCTCTTAAGGAATTTGTAATGGAGGGTTAATGTTCATAAATTTTCTCAATTAACTTTCTCTGCTAAACATATTGTTTCTGGATACAAATTCACTGAGTTCAGCATTAATAAAGTTCCTTTAGTATTAACACAAGCACTTTTGATGAGTGTAACCCGTTGTCTTCAAGTGAAATGAACAAATTTTAATGAAACGAACGTGGAGAATGTTCCAAAGGAACAGAATATTTAAAGTCAAACCAGGTGTTCGGAAATTCCGTTAAGAACATGCAAATAGTTTTTGATATGTTCGAATCTTTAAATTTTTACGATGCTAGCGGCGCATGCGTGGAAATGCTACCACATTGGTGATATGATGTTAGGCGCATTTTGTTTTTTAGACACCGATACAAGGCAATCCACACCCCGGGTAGATCGAAGGTGGGAACATGGCATACTTCTGCAGTAGCCGTGAGAAGCAACGCTTTCCAGATGAACACAAGCCTTTGATTGTTGCAGCATTTAATTATTGCTGTTCTGGGCTATAACGCATTGTAGCCTTGCTCGAGAACTTTTTTAGCGAGCTGTGTAGAACATCTTCCTTTGGCTACATCGTCCTGATGCTCAGCAAGGCGGGAGGCAAGCATTCTTGTTGTTGCTCCTATGTATCTTGTAATAGCTCCCATTACTATATTATATAACTGGATTGCTGTATGTTAGATCTTTCTATATAATACATCTCTGTAATCCAAAAAAATTTGGTAGACGGACTCACAGCCAAACTTTCAGTTAGGAACTCACTTTTATTTTTCAAAAAAATGACAAATGCATTTCAGGTTGGTACATGCATCCAACCCCTCTTCAGTGCTAATTTTTTAAAAAACAATAAAAAGCTATAATAATCAGTACATGACACCAAATACATTACAAAATATTTCTACGTACTTACTCTTAAAAATAAAAATTGTGTATGGGCTACCAACACATTTAAACACCAACAACTGTTTTTCATCTATACATCTTAGAATTATCGTACAAGCTTAAAGAGCACTTGAAGTGTTTGCATAACATCACTTCTAAAAACAAATTATTTTATGACTGTTTTTTTGAATTAATAAAGGTATACAAAACCAATATATTACATACTGTTAAAATATATATTTTGATATAAATAGTATATGAACAATCCCATTGCCAGATTTTCTAGGTGTATTGCGTAAACCCCTGACTTTTCTAAAATGGTTAGCCTGTCCAGTTGGAGATACATCTGCGTAGGTTTGGTAGGGAGTTATGGGCAGTATGAAATTATACCGCCAAAATATATGGCTGATGCATGTAGAAGTTGGTTCAAGATACGGCAACGATGACTGCATCATGGATGCTTTTTCCTTACGGACTCTTTTATCTTACAGATATGCTCTGTAAGGTAAAAGAGTCTCTATACCCGTGTACCATGCTGTACAGAAAGGAACTCAAAAAGTGCTTGTGTTAATACTAAAGGAACTTTATTAATGCTGAACTCAGTGAATTTGTATCCAGAAACTATATAAAACTTAGCGTGAGATTTTAAATTTAGCTTTTTTACTTAAAGATGGAAACTGCAAAAACACTTTTCTTTTTATTGCTGAAGCAAGTGAAGCTGTGGCAAAAATTACTTGCCCAATTGCAATTTCTTTTGATATGCAGAACAAAACAGGTAGTACCGAAGAGCATACAACTCAAATGCAAGGCACTCCCAGTCTGCCTACGACGGATGCTTCCGAAGGTAGCTGATCAGGAATAAATGCAAGTGCCTCGTGGAAGCAGAACTACAAACTTATCAGACGCATTCCTTCTACACTATATATCGAATTAGGAAAAATATGGAGCATAGTATCTAATTCTATACAGGTGATAAGAAAGAAATTAAGTAAAAAACTTCAATGGTTAATGAGCTCATCACGCATACAAAGAAGGGTGGTAACAACCATTCCGTATTATAATTATAAGGAAGAGGATGTGCTCGTCAAAGTGCACGGCATACTACAAAGGGGACCCAAATATTTCTCCTCCCCTAATAATACCGACCTGAAGCAATGAGATTGTTCCACACTCATAATTATTATAAGTAAATCCTTGTTTCAAAAATGAATTGATGTAGTTTCTTTATTTTATCAATTCAGGTGTTTTAATTAAAGGAAATTTATATTTGTAATATCAAACCAAATTTTTTATTTTAATTTTTATCAAATCACACTGTGGCTGTATGCCATATTAGATTTTAGTTCATAGTCTTTAGCATATTTCCATTGTTCTTTCCACCTTCTATAACTTGCTAATCTTCTTAATTACTATTCTTCTTGGAGATGAGGGCCACTTCCTGGAATTGCTAATGAATGCAAAGTTTCCTGAAGGCACATGGTTGAAAGAGTCATGTTTTGGCTGGTCCTCATAGTGAGCTGATGAACAGGAGAATAGGGAGAATTGCCAAGTATCTGAGAGACAGATGAAACTAATTTGGAGTAATAGAGACTCTTGAACTTCATAGAGTGACATTACAGGGGTGAAGTCGGCATTTCAACTTGACGAGTTTTGAGCTCGGATGAATGAATGATAACTTGGACTAGAGATTTATAGAAACCCTCTTGGATTAAGGAAAGGGCAAATTGTTTTCAAGAACGTTTCCATATGATTCACAACAGCATAAAGACGTTCCTACAACTCTGTTCTTTATTCTATTCTGTTTGCCATATTTATTCTTCTCATCCCTGTCATTCATTTTCCTTTTTTTTAGTGTAAGATAGTTTTAAAAATTAGTTATAAGGAAATTTTTGGGTAATACATAAATGCAACTTCTTTGTACACAGTGCAATATTTTGTAATTTTGCATATGACAACTATATTTTGGGTTACTGCCAGAGTATATGTCCTAGACTTGGAATCCATAATTAATTCTGTACATGGTTGTGTCATGCAAAATAAATTGTGTTTTTTAACATATGTGGCATGTTTTTTTTTCTGGATGTTTGCCTTAGTAGGCTTGCAGAAACCCTTTCATATCTCACAACACATCATTATGTAATTTGTTAATTTTGTACAGATATGCTTGTAAATTTCAGAATTGTTCCAAATTTTGACTTTTCTAATGCTTATGTTAGAACTCAAATAAATTTTAAAAATAGAACATGTAAATACATCAGTTTTTAAGATTATTTTAACATTTTACCATATGGTTGGTGCAGCATGATTCATGAGGTCCTTGTATTTTAAAATGCTAATAACCAGCTAGCCAACCAATAAATACATTGGTCTGATGCAGGCCTATTAATTGGTAGAAAACATTTATACATTCATAAAAATTATTTGCTGATTTGAAGATCAGGTTATTTTTCTATTACATGATTTATTTTCTATTTTGTAAGTAATCAAATATAACTAAATATAAATACATATAAATCAAAAGTCTCTCTTCCTTTTTTATAGTTTATCAAAAAAGATTCAAATTTAATAAGTTTAATTATATATGTTAAATATATATATATTAAATTTATTAAATAAAATTAATTACATTAATTTTAACAGATGAGAAAAGTAGAGTTTTGCTTTCTGAAGATGATGGTGATCCTTTATCAAGTTACATTAATGCAAATTATATTCGTGTAAGTAAATAATATAAATTTGAATTAATCATTGAAATAGTTATGTAATTTAGTAATTATAAACTTTAATTACAAAAGTTTATAAATTAGGATTAAAAAAGATGCTCAGAAAATAAAAAATATTTAAAAATTTTGATTTTATAAAATAAATGATATCATAAGATAGTGTCCGTTCTTTGAGTCAGGACAGGTTATCAGTTTAACAAATATTAAACGTTTAATAAACTAAAGCAAAGAATAGATTGAAACAACTAAATATATGTACAACTATAAGTATTGGCTTCATGGGATAATACATTTCTAGATATTCTGTATCTTAACTCTAAGTCCTTATATTACTGAGAGAGAGAGTTTACAAACATTCTGACATAATACCTCTGAGAGGGAGTAATGATATCTTCTGCTTCCATTGAAGTGTGTTGGTAGGGAGGATTCTATAGAGATAGCGTTCGGCCTGGAGTATGGTGGGATGGGAGTTTTAGCCACCTGTCTGTATGGTGGAGTCTGCCCTGAGGGCACGAGTTCAAGCTGGAGGGTGCAACTCTTGCTCTGGTGACTCACGTTGTTGTGGTTCTAAGTTCAAGCAGTGTCCTGGTTCAGCCGGTACATCCTGACTCTCCTTTTCCTATAAGGCAACAAATTTGAAGTTCTTTGATGTCATCAACGAGGTGTTGTGACTCTTCTTACCTTATAATTTATCTGACTTAACAGTTTCCTATCATTAATAATTAGATGTTTGACAAGGGTTTTGAACTAAGTCCAAACATTGTAAAGATTGTTGATTTGTGATGATATTTGATCCTCTGTTTATCTCTCAGATCCATGTGCGACGAAAATATGAGGTGGTGGGAAAAACTAGGGTTTCTCCACTTCTGCATTAACTGCGTATTAGCTTAAGTAATTAATCTAATTAATTGTCCCCCTTCAGAATCTCAATAACAATAATTATAAAAGACCTTAATAAAATTGATGTTAATTAATTAATTTACTAAATACTGTAACCATACTTAAAGTTAATTCTCTACCTCACATATATTGTTGTGTGATGATTATTTAAAAATTGTCTTCTATCTCTGCATTTCAATCATTGATATTTGATGTACTATTATAAATTTTTTAATCTCCGTTTTAAAGATATTTTCCTTTATGTATATTGGTATTACTAATTTACCAGTTGAAAGGCCCAATGCAGGCATCGGGGCATACTAAATAGTTAGCATGCATAACATTGATAAATAATTAAATACAAATGGTTTACCTAAAGTGCAGAGATGTTCAGCAGAACACTGTTGAAAGTGAACTGCCCATAACTATCATTGTCATGTACTAAAACCAATATCCCTACATTCAATTCTCATGAAATAACTTTCAAAATACCAATAAGATACTACATATTTCCATTATGATTGTAAAGAAATACCGTAATATCCTGTCTCCAGTTCAAAACATAGTTATACTTTTTTTGTTTCATTATTATCATTGTCATGCACTTTGACCTACATCACTATATCCAATTCTTTTTAAATAACACAGCAAGCAGCATGCATGCCGAATACCATTAAAAACAGTCAAGCACAGACTCTGGCAATTTCTAGGTTTGCTGCTATGCTTTGCTGGTGCTCGATATGCCAACAGAGACTGGCCATTTTTTCAGTTTTATATAATCTATATATATAAAAATGAATGTATGTGTGTCTGTCCTTCATGCATTACCACACCGTTTATCTGATTGCCGTGAAACTTTGGGAAGTTGTTTAATATACTCCCGCGAAGGTTTCTGGCATAGTACATTTATCCTATGATAGATGGCGTGCGTTATACGAGCATTTTACTGTGTGTTCGATCAATTTCAAATTGTGAAGACCATTTCATCCCTTTAAAAAATATCTCTATACAGTGGTACCTCAGGATACGAACGACCCATCATACGAAATTTTCAGGATACGACATGAAATTCAAACATATTTTTGCTCCATGATATGAACAAAAACTCACCATACGACGTTACATTAGTTCGCAGCACCATTTTTTATTCGTTTCTGTTCATCGGTCTCAGTTTGCTTTATCGTGGAAGGATCTCGCTCGATAAAGGAAATCTCGAGGTATTATCAGAAAGTGACTGATTTTATTGAAAAGAAACATCCCGAAAAGGTTCACACTGGCTGTATTGCTGCTCAGAGTAATGACATTTGCCTAAGTCATTTTAGAAACATTTTAAAAAGTAGGCAAAGCCAAACCTTTTTGGATAGATATTTTACCAAGCGACCTCTATCCAGTGAAAGTGCTGGTGGAAGTGAAGGAAAGAAAGCAAAAAGCAGTGAATAAAAA